TTTATATATTTATTTATTCTAAATCTTTACAAACTATTTACTTTAGATCAAAAAGTTTGGTGATGATGACCTTCACAAACTAATTCAGCTAATATTAATGCTTAAAGTGTCACTAAAATACAATATTTAAATCTTATAATTAAATAGAAAATAGGGCAAATAACCCCCAAAATTTCTTTTTTTTTAAAGAAAAAAGAACCATCTCTTTCCCCACACTAGTTAAAGGCCTATGACTAGAATAAAATTAATAAAGATTTAGTTCAACAGCCAATCCTAAGCTCATTTCTCGTCTTTACTTGCATTATCAGAATTAAAACTATTTACATAAGGAGCACATGAAAATTATTTACTCTTTCCAAATACAACTATTCAGACTTAAAAAAAATCAACGTAACATGTTTGATTTAATGACAAAGGTATCAATTTTTACACACTACTGTACGTACAACTGTAGCCACCAGATGGTGATATTGTATTCATAACGTGTTTAGTTCAGAGTAATGCACGTTTGGACAGTTGAAAATGAAAACAAGGGTGTGTTAAACCCGATCTTACCCAAATATAAGGTAATTGGTGTTGTATTTCAATTAATTTTGCATTTCTTAAAGGGACAGTTCACCCATAATGAAAATTCTGTAATCATTTATTGACCCTTTACTTGATCCAAAACTCCTTGACTTTTTGTTGCATACAGAAAGAAAAGAAGATATTTTGAAGAAATCTATAACCACTGACTTCCATATTGTTTGTTTTTCCTAGTCAATGGTTGCAGGTTTTCAGCTTTCTTCAAAACATCTTCTTTGGTGTTCAGCAGAATAAAGAAACTCATAAAGGTATGGAACCACTTGAAGTTGAGTAAATAGTGATTATATTTTCAGTTTTTGGTAAACAATCCCATTAAAGCACTTTATTTTTGTTATTTATTTATTTTTGTCTTTTTCACAGATGTAAACAAGGCTGTTTTATTAACACTGTGTCCATGTAATAGCTACATGAACAACACGGCAAACATCTGTGCAGTGAATATATCAGAATGCCGCAGCAGAACCTTACAGATGGAGTCATCTGGCCTCGCTTGATCCGTGGCCTGAATCCCCAGAGCCAGCGAGACGGTCAGCTCAGCTCAGCTTTAACCTCCCATGAAGAGGTGAGATTCCTCCAGGCCTGCATCTATCCTTGCGCCTTTAACTCTGCTGTTAAACCCGTCTTCCTACCTTGCTTCTGTTCGTACAAATATCCATACTGCATTTTTCCATCTATCTTCTCTGTAGAACGTAAACAAACTACACACATCCCAACATGCTGCCATGAGGGTGAGTGGTTGCCTTTATTGGATTTGCTGGATTTGCTGTGGATCAAACCTTAGTAAGCGCAGACTGGCAAACATTAATCAGCTGACCTCACACATATGGTCTGAGCGTCTAACCGTGGCCAGTCTCACGCCGAGTGGACTAATGTTCATCCACCCCATGCTGCTGATCACTTCATCGTTGAACTCACTGTTAAACCTTGCTTTTAGTTTAAGTTTTATATTGTAATTTCTGAGGTGGTCGCAGAGATGCCGAGACAGCCTTATGCTATGTGATGTTACTGCAAATATTTAGCAGCTAACCACAATGTGAGAGATGAGAGTGATGGATGCTTTTTATAGTGTATAATATAACTGTAAACGTCAGCATCTGCAGTTTCCAAGATCAAGGCGCACGATAAATAGAGTTACTGCTGTTTCCCAAAAGAAAGAGTTGATTCTGAAGTGCCTGAAACCAGTTGTCAGTTCTTTCTGTTTACTTCCTGCCCAAACCTTTGTAGGTTAGGAACTAATTTGCATAATGTCAGCCTGTCTTTATTGGCTGTCCGTGGACATTGTGTACTATGACTGTCAGACACGTAGCTTTAACTGAGGCCTGGAAGAGATTGGTTTACATTTAGCAGACTAATTTGTCCAAAGTGAGGATAAAAGAACACTTCAAATCATCGGAGTTGCAGTATATAAGTGCAGTTTTTCTTTTGAGCATATGGAGAGAGTGTGGCGTACAGGTGGTTATCAAGCCCACTCAACTATTAGAGCAAACACTGGATTGCATAGTGTTTTCCAAGAAGTATGGGGTGCTTTTAAAAATGTCTCTGGTGTTGGAGAGGAAAAGAGTGTCACCTACAGGTGGTTTGCCAAGCCCACTCACTTGCATGAAGCAGATGTAGAATTGCAATGTTTTCCAGAAAAATGGAGTGTTTATTAGAAAGTGTCCGGTGCTTATAGAGAAGAGAGTGTGTGTGCTTGTACACTCGATTTGTGGACAGAAAGAGGATGTTTTCTTCAGTTCTGTGAATGCCGATTCACTCTTTGCACTCACTTCAATGGACTTTGGCTAACACTGATATGGTACAACCATGATCATTGTTACTGTTCCTATTATGTGTTTACAAGATTTGAGGAGGCCTTTAAAGTTAAAATTCAGATATGCTTTACTATTTGGTTTCCAACTATAGATGATATGGGCAAACATTATGGGCTCGATTTTCAACGATCCAGGCACACAATTCTAAAGCGCATGGTGCAAAAGCATTAAGGGTGTGTCTGAATCCACTTTTGCTAATTTAAGGATGGAAAATATGCTTTGCAGCACTGCGTATGGTCTAACAGGGTTGGGCTTATTCTTTTATTCAGGCTTGTGCTTATTCTTCTCTATGAGTTATGGCTGTGTTTGGAGCATAATGTGCATTAAACCAATCAGAGTCTCACCTCATATTCCATTTAAGAGTCAGTTGTGTTGCGCCATCTATCCGCTTGTTAAGTGTGATGTCTTGCGAAGCGGCTTTCGGGTCCAAGTGCTCTGTTCAACTGAATGCGGAGACTCATGAAATGGTAATAATAAACGTTTACAAAGCGATTTAATACTTTCGAAAATCATGATCGCAATATATATGTCCCTGCCTAATATCCGATGGCCAGAAAGTGATTCATTTTTTTATACATTTTTTAAATTTTGGTATTTGTTATGCAGCAAGCCCAGAGATTGGTGTGTACACTATGACTTTATATAAATGTAAGTTTAATGTGTGATAGGAATAAAACGTGATCATAAACAAATGATTTCCCCACTCAAATGAATGGCGGCTTGGACCCGGAAACAGTATTACATACGTCACAAACACGTCACCACTTAACAAGCGGATAGTGCATTTGCAATTTACGTGGAGGACTTTGTAAGAAAGAAAAACTGAACGCTTCACTAGTGAGAAAACAGTTAAAGAGACCATCTGCAGTGCGAGGATAAAGAACCAGCCTCTTCCATTCAGCCTCTTTCTCTTTTACTTTTTATTTTACTCCTTTACTTTCATGGAGTAAGGAAACAGTGTTGTAGGCACTCTGCTGAAGACATCCATTAGCCTACATATTTAATTTAGTTTGTTAAGTGCAAAGATTTGTTTCAAAATTATTTCTAAATTCAGTTCTAATTTCAAGCAAATGAATAAATGAACAATAATAACATAGTGTGGTAAAAAAAATGAGTTATATCCAAACACAAGTCCTATTCTTATGCCCCTTATGGCAATGCATACACCTCCAAAGCCTGACAGATGGTCAAATGTAACCTTGTTTTTATGAAAACAAATATAAATCTGCATATAATAAATAATCAGCTAATAACAATAACATTATAGAAATGCAAATTGTCATGAATTAACTGGGAGGTAGTGGTTTTTATACTTATGTAGAACATAATTTTTGGAACATTTTAATCCTTAAATTTTTTTCATATGTAAAGATATTTGTGTGTTGATATATGACCTGTGTGTATTAAGCAATGTGTACGTGTTTTGGACCTGCATAGGTGTATAACTATCGTGCTTTGCACTGTACTTTCAAACAGTTTTTATTTGGTCAATGGCACAGTCTATCAGTTCTTTAAAATAGCAACGCACCAACAATGCACCTGAACACACCTTTTTTTTTAGACTGGAAAACCCATGAGTCCACAAAGTGGCACAAATGGAATTGCTATTTAAACAACATGGTGCAAACATGAAAATTAAGGTTGTGCTGGTATGAAAATAGCAACAAATTCTACCAAACACGTCTTGCGCCATATTGCACCTCATGTATGAAAGGGCCCCAAATCTCTATTTTTATGGCTGTCCATGTGGAAGGCTCAAGCAGAGCAAAATAGACATATTTTCATAACTTAATAACATTTTTAGCATGAAGAATATGCATGTAAAATGTAAATTAGGCTCTAAAGAAAACATCACAAACACAGTCTGTCAGCAGTATGTTATCTGTCAGAGGATTTGACAAGGAAAATTGCTTCAGACTATGATATATAGTCTATATATTTTGTGACTTGACTCATTTTTAGAATGAACCGGATTTTGCACCTTAGCTCACTTTGTATTGTTTGCTATTTTCCAGAAGAGCTTCTATCAAACTGTTGTAGAGCCTATCAATATAAACAGTACTGTCTCAATTTCAAACTATATCATTAATAAAAATATTGTGAAATAGTTTATAAATATTGTACACACAATATACCACCCGGCTCTATTTGCAACATGCTGTAAAAAGTTCTAATCACAACAGACTTGGCCTTTATGACCAATCAGAAAAAAGCTGGTTCTCAGAAATGAGAGCTTTAGAAAAAAAATGCTGAAATGTATATTGTGAAAAAATAGGCCGCTGCAAATCAACATTCTTCTAACAACATGTGCAACATATTTCCTGTGCACGTCTGGATAGAGTCATAACTAGCTGGTTAGCTTCTTCAGAGATGGACTGTGCTATGGTAATTAAGTGAGTTACTTTGAAGCTTTGGAAACACAACCCAGTATAGTGCAGTGACATATTTTAGCTGACTCACTCGTGCCTTTCTGCAGTGCAGAACATCATACATATGTCTGCTAGATTAAGGCCAAAGGTCACAACTGATAATCCAAATGTGTGAACCTGAAGTGGCTGTGAATAACTTTAGGTTACGCACATGCTAACAATAACAAGTCAAAAATGCAACAAAAGTAAACTTTTATTGTCATGTTGGAAAAAAATCCTGTTGATTTACAGATCAAGATATCTGAAAGCTGACTCGCGTTTCTTTGAATTTTTTTTTTTTTAATTTTCCTTTACCCCCTTCATTCATCATGCATTCACTAATAAACAACTCCTGAGTTGTTCCACTCAAATTTCAGCATTATTACCGTTTGATGGATATGCGCTCTCTACTGGTGTCATAATAGTGAGATGTATGAGTGCTTGTCATACAGTATCTATCTGTTCTATAGTATTTTAAGCCGTTCATTTAGTAGTACTCATTCATGTTTGTGTAATTTGGCAATTATTCAGAAATGTGATTTTGTGATCAAGTCAGGCACTATCAATCATTAATACAAAGGCAAAAAAATAAGACACAAGTATGTTAGCTAAATCTTTCCTGATTCCAAGTAAATAGTTTTAAACTATTTTAAGCAAATATATTCCTTTATTGTTTACCTTACAACATGGTACATTTTTACTCCACTCTAAAAGTGCTGGGATGTTTCAAACTAAATTTGGGTCACAAAAAATAACATTTTCAACAGCTGTGGTAAAAATGTTAAACAAATTAATTTAACCTTATCTTCGGGTTGAAACAATCCAGCACTTTAGGATGTGTGTATTTTGTTTTAAAGACCCCAGAATTATATTTAGGATGATCTAAAACATAGGTGTCAAACTCCGTTCTAAGAGTTTAGTTCTAACCCTAATTAAACACACCTGATCAAGGTAATTAAGTCCTTTAGGGTTGTTTGAAACCTACAGGTAGTTGTGTTGGAGCAGGGTTGGAACTAAACGTTGCAGGTCTGCAGCCCTCCAGGAACGGAGTTTGACACCCCTGATCTAGAACAATTGGTTGTTTTTTATATCTAATGAGCAAATCAAAGTTATTTAGCCAAATTAGGCTTTTTAAAATCTACTTAAGATAAAATTCCTTCATAAGATAATTTCATCATTGTAAAGCTAGAATTGTTGACCCATAACTGTCTGTTCTTATGTAGGTGTTGTAGGTGTAGTAAACAAGATCATGATCCATATCCCCTGTCGATTTGAATCAACATTGTATCATTTAAGGCTCAGCTCACTGTAATGTTTACAGTAGTGTTGTAGCATTGAAATTTTAGTGAACCAACTTCAGGAGCGTTTCCTATCAGATGGTGTATCTCTGACCTTTGCTTTGCTCGTCATGAGTGCCCAATTCAGTCCACACACTCATACTCGGCGTAAACACTCACACACACACATGCGTGGTAAAAAGATGACGATCAAGGGTCGTAAACCCACCCTTCACTCCGCCCCCCACTTGAAGTTAGTGCGCTGTCCATATAATACACATGAAATTACACAGAGGTTCACAGTTATTTTACAAAAGATAAGATGCCTGAAGCAACTAAAAATGTTCTACCAGGCATTTTTGCTTGTTACAAAATCACATCCATTCCTCCCAACCCCGACACCAACCCAAGCGATTTCCTATTCACAGGTGAATACAACAATAGCCCAAACCATCATTCACGTACTGTCCCCCACCCCGAGCCCGCCCAAAGACAAGAAGAAGAAAAAAAGTCTCAAAGAAATCCTTAAGAATCCTTTTAAAAGTTCCTTTTAATTCCACGGAAAATCAAGTTGTGTCTCTCTGTCGTAATTTTTTTTCTTTTCTTCGTAAATTCAAGTCTCTCCAGAGAACTGAGCAAAGTTGTACAGTCCCGCGTGTTGCAGTTCGTGAATTGGTTATCACAACCGATGACTTCTCACTCGCAGGCTTGTGAAGGGCAGCAAGACGTGTCCTCCGGTAATCCACTAATACACAGTGTTGTGTTTTCCCCAGCATATGTTTTAGCATGATTTATTGGTGTCTGTAGAAGCATACAGCTTTCATCTCATTCTTGCATTGGTAACATTAAACCTTGGTAATGGAGTAAGGCATAAAATGCAGACAACAGAAAAAAATATTCCTCTTTTTCTGCTCATCATAGATGCTGTTTTCTGTGTGTTCGGTCGCAATGACAGGTTTCAGAAAAAGAAAGTCTGGTCATTCTTACCAATCCCACGCCTACTCTACAGAGAGATCTCATTGAACATTCACATAAATATTACAATCTGTCCTGTCTGCATTGGTCAGCATTCTAATTCAAGTCAAAATATGCCAGAGAAATCAAGTAGCTGATCAATGATTTCGTGAGTTATGTGCAAAATATTCTTTCAGATTTATTTGACACTGAGGCCTTGTCTACACAACCTTTTTGCGTGAAAACGCAGCTTTTTTCCTTCTGTTTTGGCCACCAACACTGAGGTGATTCGCTAACTATGTGGATATATTTGAAAATGCTGTTTTAGTTGTGTGACTCAGCCGAAGGCGAGATGGTGTATGATGTTATACCACCTTGTTTTGGCTACTTTTTAGTTTGAATCATTGCTAATGTCAGTTTGTATACTTCAGAGTGCATTTCTTCGATGGGAGATGTAATGCTTACTTGCAGTGAATGTTATCGTTTTCAGACGTTTCATTGTGGATGAACAATAGTGTAGACGGAGAGCAATTTTAAATGAAAGCACCATTTTCAAATGTATCCAGTTTATATGAACACACTTATTTGCTCCTATTAAAATTTACTATTTTAAAAATAATTCTAAACATTCCTCTAATAGCTTATATGTTTTTCCTAATGTCAAACACATTCCATTTTTTTAAATAACCATTTGTATAGGCCGAATTATACATTAGACTTCAGTCCAGCACAAACATTCAACTTTAGGTTTCTTGACACCTCTTGACCAAATTGTTCCTTGCAGGAATCCTCTCGTCATTTATTAGTCTGTAAATACAAACTAAAATACCTCTAATGCAACCTACCTGTCTCTTACAAATGCTTGAGAAATTAAAGGTTGCATTAACAACCCACCAAGATATGTGTATGAAAAAACCTTTCATATACATCTGATAGACTAGCGAACTTTCATTCAAGTAATTCAAGACACCAAAGACTAAGTGACTTTGTTTTCAACATCATCTGTGCAATCATTTGGAAGGATAAATGATTGGTTGGTTTAACCTCATATCACATTTTTCAATCAATCCTGATCTATCACTTCACATAGCGAGACCAGATACAGTACTTTACCTTTTCATAAGACTGATCATAGAAATTATAAGGGCATGAGTTATTTTGTGCAATGCTATGAAACAATTTATAAATGAATAAGTAAACAGAGTTCAGAGAAAGAGAGAAAAAAAACATAAATAAAAAACAATAATTTACAGTAAAATGTAACTCAGGGAAAACCTGAATAGGCCATAATTCACGCAGATTCATTCACATTTTCAGTCAGCTCCTTTCATCTACAATCCCTCTGAATCATCTTGAGAGGAAAAATATTATTTCTTCTGGAAGTTCCTTATTTTTCTACACACTGTCTTAATTCCTGCCTGAGTCACAGGAAGGATTCAGCCCAACCAATTAGGACAAATTATAGGAACTTTGTCTTTTTTGTCAGCCTCATTCATTCCCAGAGGCGTATGCTTGGCACTCTTTCTCAGAAAATGTTAAATCTCAAGTTTGTTTTCCCTTAAAGATAGGGTAATACACATGCACATTGAGTATTTTTGAATCAGTAGTTCAAATAATATAAATTTCTCTGCCAGGAGTGCAGTTGTTCACAAGGCATGAATACTATTTTTGCAAATCTTTGATTTGAGGCCCTCAGGATCCATGTAAAGGGATACACATACTGAGCCAAATCAAAAGGTAATGTTTGTAGCGATCAATCATAAAAAAGCCATTTGACATAGCCTTCATACATTCACCAAAAAATATAACACCGGCTTGGCTGATCTGCAAATTTGCACCACCCAAATAAGAAACATATGGTTCTTCAAACCAGTTTAGAGTTGATTACCAAACCACACATTAGCTTAGAGCCCATTTTCCCTTTAAAAATCATTAAGGTGACAGTAGATGCTTATTCAATGACATCCACCCCTTTAAAGCATCTTAAACTGAATCAAAGGCCACAACAGAACAACTCTTAAAGTTTGTCCATGTCTCCATCTTTAAAGACCTCTTATTCCCTCCCCCAGGCTGTCCACTTTTCAACCATCCAGAAGAGAAAGAACAGAAAAAACTAATAAACAACAACAACAACAAAAAAACATAATGAATGAACACTCATCTTCACATGACACAGTAAGGCTCACGGGGCAGTTGAGGTGGAGTTCTACAACAGGGAGGCAGGTGGGCCAGCAGACCCTTCTTCAGGTCCTTGTTGAGGAAAAAGCAGATGATGGGGTTCACACCTGCCTGGGCAAAACTCATCCACACAGTGGTGGACAGATACCGGTGCGGGATGGTGCATGCCTTCACAAAGACCCTCCAGTAACAGGCCACAATGTACGGGGACCAGAGCACCAGAAAAAACAAGGTAATGACATAGAACATCCTGCCAAGCTGCTTCTCAGCCTTAAACTCCTCCATGCCCAGTAGGCGTCTGTTCTGGTTGTGCAAGTTCTGCCTTATGCCCAATAAAGTGGGAGGCATTGGGCCACGGCCAAACCCAGCTATCCAGTTTGCAGCCGCCTGACCGGTGGCTCCAGGTCCATGAAAGGTCCAGTTTTGGCTGATGGCTGGAACCATCTGGACCGGCTTCATCTTTCGGTGCTTGTATTCAAACAGCAGGAGCTTCATGTACACCACATGAGTGGCCAGGATTAGCACAGCCAGCATTAGCATGAAGCCTAGCGTGTCGTTGGCCTTGAAGTAGCGATGTTCAAAGATACATTGGTCCTCCTCACGGATGAACTTGTACGTGCCGACGTCAAAGACAGGCGGGAAGGCCATGGCGACTGACAGTGTCCAGACCATACACACCACCGCAACACAGGTCCAGAAGGTCATTCGCTTGGAGTAGAAACGATGGTGGGCAATGGCCATGTAGCGTGTGACACTGATGCAGAACAGCATGAAGGCAGCATGGAAGCAGAAAAGGACGGCCATGAAGGCCACCACCTTGCAGCTGAGCACGCTGTAAGTCCAGGCCGAGCCGTTCTTGATGGACACCAGCACGAAGGGAAAGCAGACCGCTGAGCGAATGGTGTCGGCGAGACAGAGATCCAGAAGAAAGTAGTATGGTGCCTTGTGTAAGGCTCTGTCTCGTAACACCAACAGGGATACCACTAAGTTGCCCACCAGGCTGATGCAAATGATCAGGCCTAGAAGGACGAGTTTCACATAGGTGGAGACGGCAGAAGAAGGTGCTCCACCCATCACTCCACCTGTTGTGGACACCACGGCCGCCAAGGGGTTCCCAGGCCCATCGCTGCTTGCGTTTCCGTTGGCCATACCTTTTGCTGCTGGAATCGCACCCCTCCTCCTTCAACTCCTCCTTTACCTCCACTTCCTCCACTCCCTCCTCCACCTTCGCCGCCTCCGGCTGAGCTGTCGTCCGTCCTCGTGGTTGCCTTTCGTTGTTGTCTCAAATGGAAGGAGAGAAGCTTGATCTGCATTGCCCCATTTTGTACAGTTCTCTTTGGAGCGTCCTTTCAAATGTGCCACCTCTCTTGGCCTCGACACCTATGAATAAAGGACAAAACATTTGTTACTGTTGTTTTCTCACACACAAATGCTAGTTTTTAAATGCCACAAACTCTACTGGCTTTCAGGGACAATTTAGCATTTGTGTAATGCCTGGGAGAAAGTTTTTAGGTCAAGAAGATTGAGCGAGCATAAAGTGATACTGATGCTGAGGGAAAAAATATTCTTCTTGATACCTTTAGAAACACTTTTTTTAATTATTATTTTTTACTTTGAAAATAAAACATGTAAAGTTATTAGTCAACTGAGGAAGGCACATATGTCCAATAGCAAACTACCAGTGTATATAGCGTTCCTAACTAAACTGAAACTTAAATGACTTAAATGAGAAAGGTTCAGGTTTCAAGCTAACCTAATTATGACGCATTATCACTCCTATAAAAGATAAATAGCAAGCTAATGTTAATGCAGTTTTGGCCTAGATGTAATGATGTAACCTTCGATTACATGTTCGTTAAATGTGCTTAAGGTAAACTGCAACTGTTTTTCTCATGTTCACCAGGTTACACCACCCTCATTCCTGTAACCACAGCATATGCTCTCAAAACAGTTTCTCACTATTTTCTAATGCTTAAAGGGGTGTCATTCTAGCCAGACAGAAATAATAATAAACTTGCCACTTCTAGAAAATCTGTATGGAAAATAATGCAGGGTATGGAAATGTTTTAAAGGTTTAATATATGAAAAAACAAAACAAGAAATACAGCTTTGATTAAACCGAAATCACACCAGCCCACGTGCGTAGTTTAGCGTCATGCCGCATGAAGAGGCCTTACTGACCCGGTGTTTTGCACAAGTTGCACATCTTCTCTAAAGTGCTTCACTTATAAAAGCTCATGTTTTACACTGCTCATAATGTACCCAAGTTTAATAATTAATTTGGGGTATTTATAAGCTAGAGTTTCAAACTGTACAGTCTTAAACCCTGGATTGACATCCATTTTTGCATATTTATAGTGTCAATAGGAGCTTCCCACCCATTTTCCTTACTTCCTGTGGCTCTGGTATTCTGTGAAAATGTAACATCAGTTTTTTGGGGAGGTGGCCCAGGAGCGCAGTCGACAACCACTGGGTTGTTTAAAAAAACACACACTCAAATTCGCATAAACACAGTCAGTTATGTATATTAACCGAAACAGGTGGTGTTTACACACTGTGGGTATACATCAAACAACATGTAAAAATGAATTTAGCATAATAGGTTTCCAGCACTGTGTGAACAGCCTTGTGAAATTGCAGTCTCACACTAAACCTTGTAAAGAAAAAAAAAAACACTGGCTCAGCTCCGAGTTCAGTACCGCTGTGAAATGTACATTCATGAAACATTTATTTCTAAAATGAATAAATATTAACGGTTTTAAATGAAAAGCAAGGCATACATTCATATCTGTCACATTTCAAAATATATAATATAGGATATAATAATAAACAAAGCGTCAGTTCTTTCTTAAGTTATGTACTTCCCAAGTCCCCATAAAATTAAATAGATTTCTTTGGGTTACTGTGAATTAAAGTCTTAAAGTGGAAGTGAAGCAGTCAGTGATGTTTACATTATTTTGTTAATTGATCTCCACTTTAATGAAAAGATATTAAGCAAATTCGATTATTGAGTCCATTTTGCAGAAAACAGATATGTTTTGCTATAGTTTTAAGAGCTAGGGCACCGCCATCTTGGAATATTGCTGTATCTGACATTGGGTTGGTTCTGTTTCCTTAGCTAAACAAGTACAACGGAAGTAATGGACTGAACACGGAGATGGCAAAGCCTAGTTTACTCCCAAAGTTGTGGGTTTGGAGCTGGTGCAAATACAAGCATCAGATGTGTGTCTAATATAAAAAATATATTTATTCTATTTTTCCTTTTCCCCTTTTAAATTACAGATTGTTTGATGCACTTTGGTCCACTTTCTGTATTACGCTGCCTGACTGGGTTTCAACAATTGTTTCAATGAGGTTCGATGCCAACGTAATGAAACAGGTACTTTCACTTTTCACTACTACAGCCCCTCTTTTCATGTTCAAACCAAACAATTGCTGTTTCTCAATATGCGTTCTTCAGCGATCTTGTGTTCTCGTCTAACGTCATCATCAACTGCCAAAGCTCAGTTCTAAAATTCAAGAATAGTGGATGCGTAAAAGTTCCCAAAAGTGTTCTTGATATCGAGGATGCACTGATGCAGACTTGAGCACAAAATTTACTCGAAGTCCCAGAAGTCATTGCGGCTGAATAAAGGAAGTGGGAAGTGCAGTGTTTAATGTAGAGTTATTGTTAAAATTCAGAAATATAACTTGTCTCAGGAGTTTCCCTAAATGACACTGTGAAATTAAATATTACCAGGGAAATCTTTATAAAGAAAAATAAACACATTAAAGGTGTTTATTTGATAAAAATTTTATTAAAGTTACTTTTTTTTGTATTGTGCAACGTTTATTTGTAAGATATTTATGCATAGTATATATTATGAAAAGAGGAAAAACAATAAATAGTTGTATGTTTAAATCATTCTCTGATGAAAACGTATGAAGGTCATGTGACCATCAGAAAGAATGCAGCATCTCATTTCTCACAGGACGCGTTCTCCTTTCTTGCGGTCTCCCGAGTTATTCCGAGATAACTTGGCAAGACCGGTCTCTACAAAAACACAAGTCCGTTTTCTGCGTTCTTCGAATTGAGAAACAGCCTAAGATCGCCACTGTTTTTCCTAAGATTGCTGCTGGTTTACCTAAGATCGCTGCTGTTTTTTTACATGGCATTTTTCTACGTCCTTCATGTTGAGAGATCGATTTGAAAAGGAAAAATGCCTTGACATAACCCACAAAAACGTGACTTAGTAAAGCATAAAGTCATGTGCTTTAATCGTTACATTAGCCTGAATGTAAATCGCCTCGTCAGGCACAGCTAGACCAGCATGAGAGTGGACCAAATCTCATCAAATGAAAGGTATTAAAAAATAGTAAACGTTTAACTATTTTTGTATTTATTAGACAACTTTAATGCTTGTATTTGCACCAGCTCTGTGATGCACGTCCAAAACCTCACGCATTGGGTTAAATTAGGCTTTACAGTCTCAGTCCATTAACGAAAGAAACCAGGGAATGAAACCAACCCCATGGTGTCAGACACAACTATATTCCAAGATGGCGGTGCCCCTGTACTAAAAGCTATTTAGAAAAACATGCTAATTACTTTAAAATGGTTTCATTAATAGTTTAATACGTTTTCATTAAAGGGGTGGTCCACTATGATATCATATTTTAAACTTTAGTTAATGTATAATGTTTATGTGTCAAAATAAACAACATTTTAGAAATATGTTTAAAGTTCAATGCAAAGGGAGACATTGGCTTTTACAGAGTTAGCTTAGCGAAGCCAACAGTGAACAAAGTTTGGGGACTACAAAAAAATACATCCGGGTTAATGAGATTATAAACCCTTCAGGCTATGAGCATACACCCTGCACCGCGAAGGGGCGTGGTCAGATGCATTGTTATAGCAGACACGCTTCCTGGTGACATGGAGCCGATCCACAAATCACAGCAAATTATGTTAGCTGACCAATCAGAGCCTCTTGAGGGTGGGCTTTCGGAGGAACTGGGAAATATGACAGTCGTTTTCATGTTAGCTGAGTGGCTGCATATAATCAAAGTAAGATATATGAAAAAATAACGCAATTTTTTTACGAATGAAGTATGAGCACATTGCTTAGCACACCATAAACACAACCAAGCTGTGAAAATACACTCTGGACCACCCCTTTAAAGTGGAAACCAATTTACAAAATAATGTAAACTTGACTGACTGCTTCACTTCCACTTAAGGTTATCTATACACTAGTAAAGGGGTTGCCAAACTTTTCAGCCCGCGACCCCTAAAATATCATTGTCAGTAACTTGCGACCCCCATTTTTCAAGGTGGTTATACTGTAAATATGTAAACGTTGCAGACACAACTATAGGCATACAAAAACATAAGCATATGACAACACAAAAATGCAACAGTCTATTAACCATATAATGTTTTTTTATAGTCATTTATTAATTTCATTACATTTTAATATAAAAATTAAAGTCGGATGGCTGATTTTATTTGTATGTTGTTGTTTCTTTAACGCAAGTATTAACTATCTTCTGTGTATTAGGAATAAAATATGGTAATTTTAATAGTTTAATAAAATTTATTTGAGTTTTGGAAATCACCAAGCGACCCCTTGTCATTGTCCCGCGACCCCCCCAGAGGGTACCGACCACCACTTTAAGAACCACTGCACTAGTATGCACCAAAACAACGAAAAATATCATATTTTAAAGATAACACAATTTTGATAACATTCATAGCTGCCCACCCACAAAAAAATGGTAAAGCAGCAACTCAAATCATCCACCTATTCATAAAAATACTATTTTCTAGGGATGCTCCGATTGATCTGCCATAGATCGGAATTGGCTGGTAATCACAGTTCAAGACTCAGTTGATACTCTGTAATCTGGCCACTCACATGTACCGATTGCAAGTGTTCACTAACAGGTTTACAAGCAGGAGAAGCTAAAATGGATCTTCCTATGCATTAAATATGCACTACAAACTTCTTGATTGAGACGTTAAATCATTCTTCTATTATTTGCAATGTTTCCAAATTGTTTTGTTTGTCATTTTTCTTAATTTTTTAACCTGTTTTATCTATTATTTTTTTGTAAAGCTGCTTCTGACCATGACATGTTATAAGAGACATGTTTGAGGGATTAAATGCGGCATTCTTCATTTAACTAAAGTTATATAAAGCTTGAAGTATCAGAATCGGTACTTTATATCAGCCGATCCTCATGATGAGTTATCGGTATGTGGTATCGGCTCCAAATATCCTAATCGGAGCATTCCTACTTTTTTCATATGGTGAATGGGACGTAGTACCCTATATAGAGGATACAAATTCAGACATTTATTCATTCATTCATTTTCTTTTCATCTTAGTCCCTTTATTAATATGGTGTTGCCACAGCAGAATGAACCGCCAACTTTTTCAGCATATGTTTTATGCGGATGCCCTTCCAGCTGCAATCCATCTCTGGGAAACATCCATACACACTCATTCAGACTCATACACTATGAACAATTTAGCCTACCCAATTCACCTGTACCGCATGCCTTTGAACTGTGGGGGGAACTGGAGCACCCGGAGGAAACCCACGCGAATGCGGGGAGAACATGCAAACTTCACACAGAAACGCCAACTGACCCAGCCTAAGGTTTGAACCAGCAACCTTGCTGTGAATGTGAAACGACAGCACTACCTACTGCGCCACCGCGTCACTCAAATTCAGACAATGTACAGTAAATATGCTTTCCATAAGGGTGAGTGAAATCTAGTTTTGCATTTAAGTCAACGCAGACCACAAACCATAGCAGACCCATTTGAATTCTATTCGGAGAAGATTTGGATACGCGATGTTTAGAAAGGCTCAACATTACTGTGGATGTCATAAGCTCTCAAATATGGCTTCAGTGAGATGAATGGCTCTGATCGAGATGTGATATAAACAAAACACTACTGGCTTTTTTTTTTTTTAAGGGAGAAGCTTCTGTCCTGTCTTCCAGGAAATTTCCTGACATACTGTATTGTAAGAAACATCCATCCAACAGACTGAGCAACATTGCCTACATTATGTCACTTCAGGGAAGCTTTAATAACATTTATATTTTAAAGAACAAGCGGTTTCATTTGTGTCCACCATCAGTAAACACAGATCGATCAATAATCTGCTGAATGGGATAAACAGGGGTCCTGTAAGCATCTGCTGTGCCATGCTGAGGAGCATCTTCTGCTTCCCCCTTAGAGGCGAGCAGATCAGCTGTTTCCACCACACGCTACATAGCATGCCAGCAACTAGTCTTTCATGGTAATTACCTCATTGTTGCTAGGCTACAACGCATCACTTTTTATGTGTTCAGTATATAGGCATGTGGACCGGGATGCTGGGGCAAGGGGGAGGTAAGGCAATGGTAAATCGTTTTAATCAACATTTAAGGCTGTAGCAAATCTTCAAGGCAGATCTTTCGAATATACAGCGACGTTATTCCACAGCTGCTGATTTCTGTCTACTTTTTACCACATTACTGGAAGTTACGCCTCATTTCTGCTCGCATATGAAAAAGCCCCACCCCTGGTTGAGGTATTTAGACAAAGGCATGTACACTTGTCAAACAGACACCATGAAGTGTCGTAGAACAGCTAACTAGCACATTCTGTCAACGCTGTTGAATTCAGGTGTATACCATGCGGTGATATTGCCAGCATTTAAAGAGACACTTGAGCTAGCTTTCACCAGCTAACAACCTCTGGTAAAGAGAAAGCTATATGTAGATGACGGCTGATGACAAAGTCACTAGTACCTTAGTTCAACAGGAGATAGAACTGCGCCGACCCATTGTTTTAGAGCAGAAACACTAATTCACTTGTGTCACAGCAATTACAGCTGCTTGTTGCTAGGCTACAGGGTCCTTCTGCCTTGTGCGGTGTATGTGTCTTTGTAAGCCTGAATGCAACTCAGAATTGTATGCATCGAGGTGAGGGAAGGGAAGTGTCACTCATGAGGAATAATCAGCCGGAATGGAGACTCGAGCGAATGTTTCTGTCATAGAGAGGACAAAATGTTACAACCTCATATCGTGACAACCTGTTGTAATTGGTTTGCGAATTGTACAGCTTTGTATCAGTTAAAGGTGTTATTTGAATAGGCAGTTTCACTCTGATTCAGTTTCAGAATGGTAGTCTTAGCATTGATATCATTAAAATGTTTCCGATTGTTGGGTAGAGATAGATCGATGACAATTGATATTCAAAGTAATTTATCAAATGTACTACATGCATGTCATTAAACTTTATGCAACTGAAAAGATAAAAGGAGCATGAAACCAGAAGAGTTTTCCCAACTGCTTAATGTCACAATTTTCTCGTGTAAAATGGAGGTATGTCGACCTGGTATTGGGGGAAGTATTAACGTTTTTACAGTGCGCAGATATGCAGATTTTCTCGATTCGCGTGCGGATTGTTCCCACAGTCACTTTTTTTTTTTTGGCTCTGATAAATTAACAGCTACACAAATATGCGGCTTATTTGGATGCGTCAGAGCTTCATTCATGTCACCTACATCAGTGAAAGTTCACCTCTCTCTGTTTTCTCAGCTCTAGATAGACTCGTGGGAGAAATGCACGCATTCCAAAGAGGGCGGCTGAGAAGTTTCATTCGTTCAATGAAACAGAATTTACCCTCCTCCACAATACTTTTGAAAAGGCCTTTGATGATCAGTCTCTCAGATATTCAGTATCTAATATGGGCTATCTGTCTTGAAGACAAACTGGTCTTGATGTTAATGAATTTAAATGTCCCTCGTGGGGCTGTATGGTAGAAAAGACCCCCTGGGGCAATGGCCCTCTCAGTTTTTAATTACACAGCAACACAGTCCTTTTCCTAAATGCCTGTTTATCACTATGCACTGCAACATTATTATACTGCAAAGGACATTATTTGTCTTCAAAAATGAATATTGATGACTTCAATTAAATATATCTGTACTAATATTTCATGCCTCATATTATCTAAAAACATAATAATACAGACAAAAACATGAGGTAATCATGCTGGATGTGATTAAGCAGATAATTATTAGCTAAAGTGTTTGCTTTTGTGCTTAAATGTTTTATTAATATTGTAAGACATTCTGCCAGAGTTACTTACAGCCCTCCTGTAAATAAAATGCTGGGTTATTTCTACTCGAATTTGGTAAAAAATGAACAAACCCAAGCGTTGGGTTTAAAAATTAATCCAGTTGTTGGGTTGACACAACCTATCATTTTTTTGTATACGAGTAATTTACATAATGTATTATTAAAACAAAGAAATTTGACTTAATTTGAAATGAAAATAGATTTTCTTAGACAAATTAAATTAAGGAAATGATAAATGATTAAAAGAAATGCGTTATCACACTTGACAGCACACAAACAAACATTTTCCTTAAGGGAGGCCTTTGTGCCATTACAGTTGTCATCTCCTGGGTTATCATTATGTTGAATTAATTCTTCTGACTCTTTAATATTTCCCTCCAGAGGTTTAGTGTGCTCTTATCTCGCATTAATAGTGAGAAGGCCCTCGATGTCGTTGGGAGGAGTCAGATGTAAAGGGAGTTGGTTGGAGGTGGAAGGCTGGATAGCAACAGCAGTGAATATCGCTACCGTGGTCTCGGTGGGAGGAGGCGACGCGGAATTCACCAACCAAACGAGCCTGAATCATTTCGACTCTCCCACACCTATCGTTTTGATACGATAGAGAAAGAACAATGTGATCCCGTCGTTCGTGGTTAGCTTTTATAAAATGTTTCCTCTTTATCTCCATCATCTTTATTTGCGTTGCGCTTGGTGATGCGCAATACTGATGTTGAACCGTTTAGTGAGCTGGAGGCTGGTTTACAGCCGCGCGCGTTGTCGATGGCTTTCCGTGAGACACAAGAAAGAGCATGAAAATAATGAATTTCTTAGAACTAAAGACGTGACCCGCACAGCCAATACGCAAAAGAGCAAATATCCCGTATGGACACTGTCAGAGCGACAGTCCCAGACTGTGTTACACTGATATTTCGTTATCTAACTCTCTTGGGTGCGATTCACATCTTCTTAGATGCACTGAGGACTGTGACCTGCATGGTTATCATTAGATATCATGAAGAACTACGGCGCCCCCCCCCCCTCTCTCTCTGTGTGTGTGTGTGTGTGTGTGTGTGTGTTATTCCGTGCGCGCGCGTTCGCGTATGTTTGCATGAGGGACAATGAAATAACAAATAGGCTACATAAAACAGGCCTGCATTTCACTTCAGTACACAGTATGCGTCATGCCGAGAGTCATCGATATTTAATTTGATCATTGATTTTTAAAAAAAGTATTATTATGTATATCCTCGAGCGCCTATCCCATTATAGTTAATTATAAGGTTAACATCAAATAGGACATACATAATGTTATGAAGCTCTTACCTATAATTCTCTGTCTTCCTTCAGACAATGGATCTTGTGTCGATGGTAGGCCTTAACGGGACCTTGTTGTAAATATAGGGAAAATAAATAAAAAAAGAAAAAACACACAAAAACTTGCGAGTAGGTTTTTTCGTCCCGACACAACGCGTTCAGGGAATCGCACATGAATCCAAATTATAATCCAAGACGAATCTCGATGTCCTTTATGAACAACAGAGAACGAAAAAAATTAATGAATTAATTAATACAGGGAATGGTCACGTCTGACAAACAAGACCTGTTTGGCTGGAAAGTCGTTTGCTGAACGGTGTGAAGGATATTATGCCCGAAACTGGAATATTACACACATACGGGTTTTAAAAAACAAAAATATCGTTTCCTCTTTTTTCGTGTGCATGTCATGTCTTCGGGTTTTCCATAAAGCTAGGCCAAGCCTTAGCAGTATATTCCCATCACACGGTGACTAAATCAAGCAGAGTTCAATAGCACAATTACTCTATTTCTGCGGTGTTCTGTGGTTTAATCCTGAGACACGGCGTCAGTATCATTATCTTGTGCGCAGATTTAGAAGTGTAAATAACGACTGGCTCTCGCTACTGGGCTACAGGACAAGACGCTTCTTCCCATCTTCATTTTCTTGCTGGAGCCAAAGACATTTTCTCCCACGCCACAACGATACACATCTTATCTTCGACGGGAATAAATCCGCTTTATCAAGCATCATCCCCGGGTATATCCACTGGCATCAGCGTTGTCCTCTCACATACTGTAGGCTTTCTATGTAGAGACATGTACACAGTACATGTAAGCGCCCTATATATTTAAAATGCATATGCCTGGTACGGTCTGTGATGCAAGGCGCAGAAAAGATGGATCACACATGGCAATCAGACCCGATTCTGTCAATTCGCCGTGACCGTCAGTATCCCGGTGCCATCGTTAATTTTAGAATGTTAACGAAAAAAGAACGAAATGAAATGGGTTCTTCTGCGATGGTCAATTGGAAACAGCGGCTCCCGTCTCTGCGCTCTACCTCAGTTTTCTCTGGATCGGATCCCTTCGGAAACGTCTCGGGATTTTTCGGCAGCCTCATTGACGCTGTTCTCACCACCACAGTCACTCTCTGGTGCACTGGTCACAAACACAACTTTTAAATGGACAGTGTTAAAAAATATATCTATCACTTTTACTAACACGTGAGATTTGTAGATGTGAATATATTTTATTTGCATTTATTGTTGTTTAATTTGACAAAATATTTTATGAAAGCTAGATGATGGAGTGAGCTTGGTAGCCCATATTACACTCAAAGAAATTACTGTAAAAATGTTAAAATTTGCAATATGCATTATAACATACAGCCTAAGATAATACAAAACATATTTCTCCTTTACAGTTTACAAGTGTTTAGTTTTGAATTAATAGGTTTCATCATGCATGATTTATTTTAGGGTTTGAAGGGATAGTTCACTGAAAAATGAAAAATTACTCACTATTTACTCTCCTTCAGTTGGTTCCAAACCTTTTGCATTTCTTTTTTTGTTCAATACATAAACAATATTTTGAAGAAAGCTAAAAACCTGTAACCATTGATATCCATAGTAGGAAAAAAAAACAGACAATGGTCAAAGGTTTGCAACATTTTTAAAATATCTTCTTTTGTGTTCAACAGAAGAAAGAAACTCATAATGTTTGAAACAAGTAAAGGTGTGATTAAATTATGAGTTTTATTATATTATTATTTCTTCACCCTCCAACCCTAAAAAATATTTTAAGGAACAGTTCATCATTTATTTGTCCTTCAAACTTGTTTGACTGTTTTTTTAGGTTATTTTTAGCACAAGGGTGCTGGAAAGCACACACACACACACACACACACACACACACACACACACACACACACACACACACACACACACACATATATATATATACATACATGCACACACACACACACACACAATTGAATTCAGAATTATTTGCCCAACCCCCCCCCCCCCCCCGTTTTTTCCCCCCCTCAATTTCTGTTTAACGGCGAGAAGATTTTTTTTCAACACATTTCTAATCGTAATAGTTTTAATGACTCATTTATAATACCTGATTTATTTTATATTTGCCATGATGACAGTAAAAATATTTGACTTACATATTTTTCAAGACACTTCTATACAGCTTAAAGTGACATTTAAAGGCTTAACTAGGTTAATAGGTTAACTAGGCAGGATGGGGTAAGGCAAGTTTTTGTATTTTGATGGTTTGTTCTGTAGACTATCGGAAAAAAAAGTTAGCTTAAAGGGGCTAGTAATTTTGTCCTTAATGTTTTTAAAAAAATTAAAAACTGCTTTTATTCTAGCCGAATTAAAACAAATCTTTCTCCAGAAGAAAAAATATCATCAGACAAACTGAAAACTCCCTTGCTCTGTGCTCTGTTAAACATTGTATGGGAAATATTTTAAAAAGAAAAAAAAAATCAAAGGGGTCCTAATTTTTTATATATAAAATCCTGGTTATATTAAAAAATCCTGGTTGCTTTAAATTTTTAAGCTGAATTAATCAAATTAACTTTATGAGTCCTTTAAAATTATATTATGTTAAAATGACTTAAAAAAGCTTGTGTAACTTATAAAATTAAGTTAGACCATGATTAAATTGCTTTAATAAGTTACAATGAATTAAAAAACATCAGTTATCATGACTAATTGATCATATAATTTTAGTAATCAGCATTTATATGCCAATTATGAAATATTTGCATAATTCAGACTTATTCATAGAACGTCTGAATAAAAAATGGCTTGTATGTCTAAGCCAATGAATATAGAAATGCTTCAAAGTATGATCAGAAAGAGTTTACAGCACACCTGGGTCTCCTCCATGGCTTTTGGGTGTCTGGCACATTTTTGATTGAGGAGCCCGATGTTTTAGCCAGCTCACTCAGTAGGCCCTTGGCGTGAGAGCGTTTAATCTATCTGTAACTTCCTGGTAAAAAGGTGTTTTGTCTCTGCATGACACAGAGATCCGCCGTGTGCCCTCATGCCCGGCCAAACAGCTGCCTGAACCGCTGGAAGCCACAGGAACAGATGGCCTTACCCAACAAAGAGGAAACCGACCTGAGGACACACAATCATTCACCTGAAAACAGTGAAATACAAAAATAGACAAGATTTGCTAATAGCCCACTTTTAAAGTTGTTATTATTTATAGGCAGATCAGAATGCTGGATAAGTGTATACTTTTACACTGAGTATTTTATAAGTTTGATGATAAAAGATCATTATTCTGTGATGTTTTATCATCTGCTGCTGTACAATGCAGCCTTGGTCACAGAGCAGGTTTAAGCATCCTCTCAACTTCTTATGTAGTAGTTTCTTACTTTATTATGATTATTAAGAACACTTTATGAAAGTTTCTTAATCAATATTTATATGTTTATTATAGCACTAGGCTAGCCACAATAAAAAAGCTAAGTGTACTCCATTGAATCGCGCCCTCTAGTGGACAAACTGACAGAACGCTGCTGTGCTCATTTCTGCTCGACACTAGTTTTTTTTTTTCTTCAATGAAACGATCTCCTAAATATGACAGTTCTCACACGAAGGAAATGCATCCTAAATAGTAAAGGCAATTTTTCTTGAAAAAAGCCAGTTTCTACTGTGAACATTTAATATTATTACTGGATAAAAATATTTTGTTTAATTGTTATTATTATTATGACTTCTATTTGTTGTAATACTTTACTACTTTATTTTCAAGGTATAGCTCACCATTTACCCGCTCTCATGTGGTTTATTTATAGGCTTCATTCTGTTGAACACAAAAGAAGATATTTTGAAGAGAGTTGAAAACCTGCAACCATTGACTTCCACAGTAGGAACAAAAAAACAAAAATACTATAGTTATAGCTTTTTTCAGAATATCTTCTTTTACCAGAAGAAAGAAGCTCAATACAGGTTTGAAAGAAAGTGAAGGATGAGTGAATGATGACAGAAAGTTTTGGTTTTGTGTGAAAAAAACTCTCTTTTAAAAAAAATCTGTTTCATGGTTATTTGTTTCAATCTAATTTTAGACTTTCCTTTTTGGGTGCTTGTATTTTTGGAATTATGATCTGTTAGATAATTTTAATCCTACTTTTATTTGTTCGCCACTTTACATTTTAACATTTATTTTAGTAAATTAATAAACATATTTATTTAGATTGATGACATCAGTTATCGCAGAAAACATTTTATTTAATTTCTCTTTAAGATCATATTTAAAACCGTAATGATGGATGTTATTCATTGTAAGTGCTTGTTGGTGCAAGATGGGCCAGTCTGAGTATTCCAGAAACTGCTGATCTACTGGGATTTTCATGTACAACCATCTCTAGGGTTTACAGAGAATGGTCCACAAATAAGAAAATTTCCAGTGAGCCAGACTGATTTGTGCTAATAAAAGACAACAGTAACTCAAATTACCACTCGTTACAACCAAGGTATGCATAATGGCGGCCATAGTCACCAGATCTCAATCCAATAGAGTACCTTTGGGATGTGGTGGAATGGGAGATGCGCATCATGGATGTGCAGCTAAAAAATCTGCTGCAACTGCGTGATGCTATTATGTCAGTATGGACCAAAATCTCTGAGGAATATTTTTATTGCCTTGTTGAATCTATGCCACGAAGGATTAGGGCAGATCTAAAGGCAAAAGCGGGTCCTAGTAAGTTTGTAAGGTGTACCTAATAAAGTGGCCAGTGTGTGTGTGTTTATAATTTTTAAAATGACAAAAAAATTAATTTTGCAATACATTACATTTTTCTTTAAAATTTGAGTATTTTGTGCCATTTGTTTTTTTTTAAATACTCTTTAAAACTGAGGAATTCTCAGTAAAACTACATTTCGACATCATTTGAAAAAAGGACTCAAAGGCCAGTTTGAGGCAAAAATGATTTGACTCAAAAGATGACTCAAGTCACTCTCAAGGCTTGTAATGAATGAACATGCTCATCATCTGCATCAGCATCCAATCCATCACACATAATGCAGTTCAGCCCTTGAGTGCAGGGCCTGCCCCAAATACCAGATCTTTTAATGAATAATATTTATATCAATAACACAATCAATAAGAGAAGGAATTTATTCGTTTGCTCAATAGATATAATTAGTGATATGTGAGAGTTCAGTTTTGGTAATTAGAAAGAACATTTGTCACTCGTTCCAGTGAAAGTGTTTGTCTGTGCAGATTTTTCTGGCATGTAACTTGTAACATTTAATCATGTGACTGCCGATGGTGAGTGACAGACTTTCAGAGGAAATCAGAATGTAGCTTATCAGAAATCAAAAACATGACATGTGTGACATTTACCAACCACAAAAATAAGAATTCTCATCAAAACAAACTTGACGTTTGGCGAGGACAGTCCCATTTATGTAAATCGCATCTTTTTCTCGGTCTGTGATCACAGCAGCCGTTTTAGTTGCTTGCTTTAAATAAGGCTTAATGTTAAGTCTCTTTATTGCAAAATGTATGTGCTTTATGATTCTTTAATTAAATAGGCCTGAATGATTAAAATGCACATTTTCACATTCAAATTTAAAAACAAAACAGGTATGAAAATGTATGAGTAAAAAAGTCATTAAAATAGTAAAAACTGTAAAAATGCTACAGTGAAAATCTGCAACCTGTTTAACAGTAAGTTTCCTTACTATATATATATGTATATATATATGTTTCCTTACTATATATATATATATGTATATATATATATATAGAGAGAGAGAGAGAGAAATAACTGTAAATTTCCCAATGATACTTCACTTTTTATGCTTTTTTGTTGACATTACTTTAGTGCTTTAAAAAAAAAAAATTTAATTAATTTTAAAATTAATTTTAAATTTAAATTTAATGTTGATAAATAATGTTTATTGCCTAACTTAAATTTTATGTGTGTTACCATGATGTGTTTAGTCCAGGGGTGCCCAAACTCGGTCCTGGAGGGCCGGTGTCCTGCATAGTTTAGCTCCAACTTCCTTTAACACACCTGCCTGGAAGTTTCTAGTAAACCTAGAAAGAGCTTGATTAGCTGGTTCAGGTGT